TGGTAGCTATTGAGTAATTACAAAAAAGATTTGATTTCGAGGACTAAGATGAGACATTTTCTACGACCTAACCATTATTTACCTACAAGAAATAAATAATTATTTAAATCATACTAAAGTTTATATATATGTATATATATTTGAAAATTGGAGTGAAATATTATTGATAATTATCAAAGCTTTAATTTTTGAATATGTGCCGCCTAATCTTGACACATTTGTTTATTTATAACCATCGTGATCGTTYATATTGGTCCAAAGAAGTTCCAATTAATTCTTATATATTTTGTTACCAAATATTGTAGGTTCGGCTGTCCCGTGAGATTAGTTGAGTTATGCGTAATAGGTTGTCCCGTAAGATTAGTTCCGTAAGATTAGTTGAGTTGAGCGTAATTAAGTTGGTTCGATCAATTAAACGTACATGGGTCTACTTTTCAAAATAATAATAATAACTTGGGTGTACATGATCACCATTTCTCCTACCATATATAATTTTTTTTTTTAAGAATTACCCAATCTGTGTTACTATATATGTAAACATGCACAATTTATTATTAATTATTAATTTAATTAACATTGAACTCAAAAGCCCTCAGTATTTATTTATCAATTCTTTAACAGGTAATTCTCGAGACCAAATTTGGTTTAATTAAATTAGTATTTCGTTTATGGATGAAATTCAGTTCATGTTAATTTGATAACTTCAGTTTAATATGTTTTAATCAAATATTAACTCAACAAAATTGAATTATAAGTAGGGAGGGCAGCACAACCTCTTATATATATATATATATATATTTTTTTTTTCATTTTGAAATAAATTTAATGGTAAATGAGAATAATGAGAGTGAGGATTTTAAATAGTAAACTTACTGTTTTTGTCCTGCTACTATAGATGAGAAAATAACATTTATTTGATACATAAAACATTTTCATTCTATAGGACGTTCTTAAAAGCTATTTTAATATATAAACAACAGAGAAGATGATCACGCGAAAACAAGGTAATTTTAGTAGTAATTTTCATGTTTTTTACRATTAATTGTTCTACCTTGCTAGAGTAAAATGATAGCATATATATAGAAAACAAAAAACATCTTTTCAAATAATTTCCTTTATTAAAAGTTTATCAATTGTGATATTAGTACTTCAAAATTAAATTAGAAAAATATTCACAAATTAAATACTCAAAATCAAGTGGCAAGAAATATTTAAATTTTACAGAAAAGTCCAAGCAAGGCAAAGAGACGCCCAAACTTACAAATTGAGAAATATAGAAAAGTAAACCCATCCGCCACAAATAATGCTAACAACAAAATTTTAGGGAAAAAAAAAATAAATGAGAAAATTAAGTGAGGATATAATTTTTCCCTCTCAAATTAAGTTTAGGGTTTAATCGACTGAAAATGAGAAGCCTAAGGTTTTAATTCGTTGGGTTAGTTTATTCACAGTTGACAAACTATACATTGTCAAACAATTTCATAATTTATTCTATTTTTCCAGCAACGAATTCAAATAATTAGCATCTATCACAGCTCTCAATATTACTATTTATAATTAGGGAAAGGTCAAATAAGTGATGTGGGTCAAATGGGGTCAAGTCAATCCATTCGAGACAACTCGGAGAGACTCCCTCTCTATAAATAACAGGGAGAAGCGCATGGAGCACAAGGTACCGTTAGCTCTCAGTATTTAATTTGAACTCTTTGCCTTAACTTAGCTTGTAGTATTAAGGATCCCACGTTTAAAAAAAAGACCTTATAATGGTTTATAATAGGCATGAATTATTTCTCTTATTGTCACTTGGTTTTGAGAATGAAACCCCATGAATATTAATATCGTGAATATTGATATGTAGTATCACATCGGTGTGCAAATCTCTTCGTRTAGGTAGGTATTCTTCGGAGTTTCTAAAAGTGCATTCCTGATTCAAACCCCGCATCAAACATTACTCATAGAAAAAGAAATAAACCCATCGCGTAAAATTAAACATTCAAAAATTTGGAGAAAATCAACATTACTTTTGAAAAATCATGACTTCATGTCTTTACTAAATATAGTAGGACTAGTAAAGTAAGATGAATAAAATTCATGCACATACCACAAAGAATGAAATTGACACGGATCATATCTACATTATATGAGTTCCCCATTGCACATATTACAAAAACCTCTCTCTTTCGCCCAAAACCAAAAAAAGTAATAATAAAAAGTAAACTAAATCCACCATTCTAAATATTTGACCGAAATTAATGACTCATCTCGTAGCATTTCTCTCTCTTATTTCTTTATTTTTTTAATAAATGAAAATAAAATTACGTTTGTTAGCTGTTTTTGATTCGTTCTTTTTTCTTTTTAATTGGTAAAAGAGATATATAAACATGTTTGGTAATTATCTCAGAGTTTAAATTTTAAAAAGTTAAAAATCTCTTCGTGAACGTTACTAAATGGTCCTGAAATGGAGAAGTCACTTTTTTTTTGGCTCGCAAATGAATTCTCTTTGAAATTTTCATCCCCATGGATGAAAGTTTGAATATGCAGGAGGCAGCTTTTACTTACTTTTGGTAACATATATATATATATAGTAAATTTTGAAGGGGTACCTTTTCTTTATTTGTTAAAAAATGAGTCCAACGTTGTGACATGTGAGTGTAAATCAATCCTTGTGGGACTGTGGTAGCCCAACTTCTTAGTTAATTTTTTAGTTGAGTTCTACACTAAAGTCCTCTTAAATTTGTAAAACTACTTGTTTTTAGAACATTACGGTTCAAATAATGGAGTTAAAAACAATACGGTTCAAATAATGGAGTTTGTGGATGTAAACTTATGACTTTTTTAGAAGAGGTTGTTAACTTATATTCAAATTAGCTAAATGCAATGTATATATTTTAGATAGGCTTTATATATGTGAATTTCATATTAATTTATTACACTTATATTCTCATTTGTACCTTACATGCCTGAATAAAGTGGCTTCTTACGAGTATTCAGCATGATTCACATTTCTATCGACACTTTTATGCAAGGTTTGTTGATCAAAATTTCCATTGTTTAAAAAAAAAWATATAAATATATGAAAAATATCACTAATATATATACATAATATTAATATTAATTATTTCTACTTATTTAGATATAGAAAAATGTTTATTTGTTAATTTAAATATTTTTTTACGATTTTAAATATTTTTAATTTTTACAGAAATATCAATCGATATTGACATTTTATCAGTATCTTTATGAAATTAAGGTCTCCATATTTCCAACTTTTAAAACCTTGCATTTAAAATATGTTTGGGGATGTGGACAAGTTGACACAAGTTTCTCTTTTGAAAATATTTGAAACTTTAAAATTTTAGGGATAAATTAAAAACCGGTCTAAAATAACATATTTAACTTTTCTTTTAAAATGGAAAACTAAATTTAATTACTAAACTCAAAAACTTAAAAAAAAAATGCTAAGTTTTATTGTTCAACAAAATTTGGCATTTAAAAAAGAAATAGTAAGGGAGAGATCAAAAATTAACTTTCCCAATTATTTTTTATTTTCATTGTTTTGAGTTGTATACGACGTTTGTGAGGAGAGTTTCAAGTTTTCAAACATGTCGATGTACAACCAACGAACGAATGTTTTATCAAWCCCAAARTAATAAGAGAACGGTGGAAATGTAGAGATTTGAACTTCCGACCTTTTATTTAAAAATATATGTGATATGAGCTGTTTTAATTTTATTATAGATATAGATTTTATAAAGAAGATAGAAATCTAGCTGTCTAATGGCCAAMTACTACATTGATATATATAATGTCGATATATATTCAATGTTATTTATATTTGTTTTTCTCTGTCTTTTTTTTCCCTCATAACCTGCATTCCTACACCTTGTAGTAGCCGAGTGTAAACAAACACCAAAAGACAAAACAAAACTCTAGCTAGGCTTCATATTGATAACATTTTAAATGCGATCTATGACCACATTGTTTGTTTTTTTTCCCCTTAAAATATAGTTTTTGGATGATCTTCTTTGATTAATTGCCACCAAAGTTTTATATTATTTTAATTATTAGACGCCTCAATCCATGGTGTTAAATTGTTATCTTCTCTATGTTATCGTTTTCGATGTTTGGAGATTTGACTTTTCTTTTGTACTGTAATCGTGGCTATGTAACAAATTTTATATATKGCAGTAAAATCAATTTTCATTTTTCCTTTAGTAAAACATGTGGAGGTGGAGATTGAGTTCACAGTCCCTTAGTTGGAGATATATACTAATTACCGTTGAGCTCTACTCGTTTTGGTAAAATCAATTTTCTTTTCGACATGGGTGTTCCTTTTTGAGAAATCAACGTCTCTTCATCAAGATTATTAAAGTTGCTATTTATATTCAAAATACATCCAGTTTTACCTACGAATATGGTACAAGTTTCCATTCTTAGATTAAAAGGTACAAGGAGATAGGCCATCTATTGTAGTCCTAGAGGGAACTACTTGTTCTCATKAATGAAACTGCTATATTTTCAAAAGAAAATAAACAAATAAAAGACCTACAATATTTTCAAAATTGATATCATTATTTTTTCCACCTGATCTAATTTGTCAAGTAATAAAAGGATTCAATTACCAATTTAGCATAACTTTCATTGAGACACTTATCTCCATGTAAAAAGTTGTGAGTTTAAATCTGATTTCCCCCCGCATATATATATATATATATATATACATACATACATACACATACATACATACATACGCACGCCACTAAAAATAAATAAATAAATAAAAGTATACAATTGAAAGTTTGTTGGACATTGGTGGAAACGAAGAGAAAAATACAACAATTAAAAAGAAGAAAAATGAGGCCATACAATGATTTTGAAACGACAAAACCATACCTTCGATGCATGATTTCCAATAAAGAAAGCGCTGGAATTGCATTTCAATACACTTACTTTATTTTCCAAATTAAAGAGTAATTTCTTTTTATAAAAAAAAACTGCATTAATAAGAAAAGTTGAGAGTGAATTGTAATTAGACCTTGAAAACACTTATTTCATTTCTTAAATTATACTTTAATTTAACTTGTAGCTATTTTAATTTCTCCCATCATAAATTTACAATTTTGAATAGTAAATTGAAAATACCAAAATAGGTTTGGATACCATCCACTGTTTGTCACAAAATCAATTGTCTTTTTCAACATTATTTGTGTACTTTTAGAAAATTTTTAATGTCCCCCCACAAATTAGTGCAAAATATATCTAGTTGGATAATTTAGATACCTATAAGGTTTTTTTTTTTGAAATCTTTTACTCCGCAAGGTTATACATTCTTATCTTTGTCAAGTAATTAAAATTTTAAATTGAAAGTTTGTTGGGCATATTGGGTGGAAACAATTTAGTGTTTTAGAAAAATATCATAGTTGAAAAGAGCAAGAAAAATGTGGTCATACATTGTCTTCGAAACTACAAAATCATACCTTCGATACATGATTTTCATGGAATGAAAGCACTTGAATTACATCTTTTATACCCATTTCATTTTTTAAATTAGAGATACGTGAACTACAGTCACATTTTTAACTCATTTATTCATTTCTTTAAATTATATTTTAATTACGATTTTTGAATGGTCTCTAATTTAACACTTGAATAGTCTATATAGACAAAGAGAGAAGATGTAGGTAGGTTAGAAAATTTTTCACAAATTGTCATAAAAGCAATTTTCTTTTCAACATTGGTGCTCTTTTGGAAATGAATGTCTATTCTCAAATATTAGTAAGTTGTTATTTATGTGTAAGTTAAAATATATCTAGTTGGGTAATTTAGATATATACCTATGAGATTTTTTAAAATTGATATCATCGTTTTCTCCGCTGTGTTCAGACTATTATCTTTGTCAAGTAATAATAGTATTGAATTGAAAGTTTGTCGGATTATTGGATGGGAATACTCTTTTAAGAAAAATACCATAGTTGAAAGAAGAAGAATGTGGCGGTACAATGATACTGAAACGACAAAATCATACCTTCAATACATGATTTCCATTAAAGAAACCGCTGGAATTACTTGTTCAAATTTACTACTTAATTTTCCAAATGAGAGAGGGAATCAAGAACTATAATCTCATCTTCGAGAAACTTATTTCATTTCCTAAACTATATACTTTATTTCTAAACAACCATTTTCATTTCTCTCATATCAAGCTCTCACAATTTAATAAACTTGAATAGAAGATCCAGATCTACAAATTAGTACTACTATAGGAGTGGCGTTGCGACACGACTTTGATTTTTTCGTTTTGTACAATGTGGAGTCCTTGTTTGTAATACACTACTTTCAACTATCCTATTTTGGTAATTCCCTAAAGAACTATTATATTATATTATGAAATATAATTAAAATCAAAATACAAAAACTTAAAAGTAAGTGAGAAAGGAAAAGGAAAACGCCGTGGGTCCAAAACCATGATTATCATCAACTATAATTCTTGAAATTTAAATAAGTGGTAAACAGGCCAAACAGGCCATAACTCATGCAGCACTAACACACGGTTCATCCTCATCAACCAAAATAATAATAACTTAATAAATGCCTAATTATAAAAAATAAATACCGCTCAACTTGACTTTAAAAAAAAATATTACATTTAATTAAAGGCCCTTTTCTTCTTAAACATATTTTATATATTATTACTTTGCATTTTCAATATTATAAATTATTTTATATTGTCAATTATATTAAAAATTAAAATATGAGGCCTTTTAGATTTTGCGGCCTTAGGCGATCGGTTTCGCTCCTTATAGTTTAAGTCGGCCCTGATTTGAGCAAACATCCATTAATATTTTAAAAGAAAAATTGACGTGGCATGATGTATCTACAAGTTGACGTGGCATACATGTCACAATTCAAGTCTTCTTTCTCTATTGTCAATAGAATTTACTTCTCTATTATCTACTCAATTTTGTCATAAACTCCCAATGAGAAATGAGAGCATTTTTTACACATTTTCTCTCTTTTCAAACTTAATTCAAATAAGTCTATACTTTACTTGCTACGTGGTCAATTTTTCATTCAAAATATTAACAGATATTTATTCAAATGATATTTTTATAAAATTTATAACCGGTCCAAAGCAGTATTGAAATTTTTGAACCAAATCGCAAACTTCAGTATTACTTTTGGTAATTTAACCTTAATAAATGGATGAAAAGACCCCAAATAAATAAATTAATAAATAAAAAGGTGACCGACTTAACCGTCCAATCGTTTATGTTTGTCCTGTTAGAGAAGAACCAATGGCAGAATTTCCTGCTCTTAAAACGTTGTTCATGACCGTATTAATACCTCCTCATTAAATAGAAACAAAAACGAGAAGAAGAGGAAAAAAAAAAAAAGGTTTCAAATTTTATTATTAATTTTTCCATTTTACTGTTCTTTGATCGGCTTGACTCGTAAATATAAGTAGAATTTTCTTTCTTGGTTCATAAAAACTGCCTTAATCCCCTTATAAATAAATAAATAAATAAATAAATGCCTTCGGTCAGATTTGGTCTTTAGAATTAATCTGTGTCTCTGTCTACGTGGAATTTTCTAATTTCTTCGACTGCAGGCCATAACAGTGACATATTTGATGGTCATAAAAGGCCGCGTAAAGAAAGATTCAAGGCAGATTTCAGTTCAACGTGTGAAGAACAAGGGATTTCAATATTTCATTATCTCTCTCCAAAAAAACGCCTTTTTCTTCCTTTTTTTTGTTCTTTTAAGGGTTTCCTCTGTGTTTTAAACACAAACCCATTCATCAATCTTCTTCATAGCTCTCTCTCTCAAAAAAACCCCACTTTTCTTTTTACCTTTCAAAGGGGGAAAAAAATGTCTACTTCTTCTTCTTCTTCTTCTTCTTCTTCTTCTTCTTCTTCTTCTTCTGTACTTTCTGACCAACCACCAAACATTCTGACAGCTACTGCTTCACTTAAAGCCCCTCTGATCTCCGAAACCCCAGCAGGAAACAACCTCTGTCCCGTTCTCACAGAGGCAAAATGCATTTCCGCCATCGCACTTCCGATGATTCTTGTCGGATTTCTGATGTACTGTCGTTCCCTGGTTTCCATGCTGTTCCTCGGCCGGTTGGGCGGGCTGTCGCTGGCCGGTGGTTCGCTGGCAATTGGGTTCGCTAATATCACTGGCTACTCTGTTCTCTCTGGCCTGGCCATGGGCATGGAGCCCATTTGCGGTCAAGCTTTTGGGGCTAAAAGATTCAAACTTTTAGGCCTCGCCCTTCAAAGAACAGTCATTCTCCTCCTTTTTTCTTCAATACCCATTTCGTTTTTGTGGCTCAATATGAAAAGAATTTTGATCTTTTGCGGCCAAAACGACGATATTGCCAATGAAGCTCAATCCTACATCCTCTGTTCTCTCCCCGATTTGATCGCTCTGTCTTTTCTCCACCCTCTTCGAATTTACCTCCGTAGCCAATCCATTAATCTCCCTCTCACTTACTGCGCCGGATTGGCAATTATCTTCCACATCCCCATCAATTACCTCCTCGTCTCTGTTTTCAATTTGGGAATTTACGGCGTCGCCTTGGGGGCCGTGTGGACGAATTTCAACCTCGTCGGATCGTTAATCGTCTTCATTGTCATCTCTGGCGTGTACGAGAAAACCTGGCCCGGAATCTCGTCGGAGTGTTTTAAAGGCTGGAAATCGCTTCTGGGTCTCGCGATTCCCAGCTGCGTTTCGGTTTGTTTGGAGTGGTGGTGGTACGAAATCATGATTTTGCTCAGTGGGTTCATGATCAATCCTCAATCCACGGTGGCCTCGATGGGGATTTTGATTCAGACCACAGCTTTAATCTACATTTTCCCATCGTCTCTAAGCTTTGGAGTTTCGACCAGAGTGGGGAACGAACTCGGCGCGGACCGTCCAGAAAAGGCAAAATTCGCCGCCATTGTTGGGCTCTGTTTCAGCTTCTTCTTCGGCCTCTCCGCATTGCTATTCGCCTTCACGGTCCGCGAAACTTGGGCCACAATGTTCACAAAAGACACAAAAATCATCGAATTGACCTCTTTGGTTCTCCCAATTATAGGGCTGTGCGAGCTGGGGAACTGCCCGCAGACGACGAGCTGCGGAGTTTTG